GTGATCTACTTCAGACCTCATAACCATGCATGATATGAACAAGTCAAGGTATTGAAAAGATCGTCATTCCGCGTTAGACATGTTAAGCTTCTCCAATGGGACTGGACGTTTGTTCAAGCCCTCCCCTCTTGTTGCCATCTCCATCAAAAGCTGTGCCACAGCAGTTTCACGATACCTATTTAAGCAAGGTTTAAGCCGCAACTGAGATCACCTTGCTTCATCTCTATAATTGAGCTCGATGCATTCGAGACAACTGAGACTGGTAGTTCGCGACCATTGGTAGTGAACACATCGGTGTCCTATGATATATCCTATAACGTCTGCTTAGCTAAACTCTCTATAAAGAATACCATCATCCAACTAGAATCGCTCAGCGTCCGCCAGCTCGTTGATGAGGACCAACGAATACGTGGGAGGCATCGATGGACTAAGCCCAGTGAAGGTTTATAAGTGAATATACTATTAATTAGATCACTAGGACTTACCTTGTTATCCATCAGCTTGCTAGTACGATTAGGTAACGAATACGTGAGAAGGACCGTTGGTGAATGCTAAATGAGGAGTTAATGTAGGAACAAGGCATGGTGCTGCTACCTTTACTGAACGTACATGATGAGAAGCTTGTGAGCACTTTGTCCTTAGTCGCCTTGTCTAGGTGAGCCAATGCCAAACGTCGGAAGCGAGCCCGCCATCTAGCATGATGGCCTTAACTAAATCAAAAGAGCGTTCAAGAGGGGTTGGTCGTTTAACAACCCCGGGGACACGCAAGGCATAATCAGGTGACATCAAATTCACAGATCTAAGCCCTATTCTGAAAGCCAATCAGATAGTTGAAATATTCAGCCCCATCTTCCACTTCCCTACTAAGGTAAACAAGGTACTCAGTATAAGCAGCTATGGCTCTTTCCCAACGCGATTGGGAATGCCTCTTGCCATCGATGTTTCCCCAACCAGCAAGGCGAACCCGAGTTCTCCCCAACAAGGTCAATAGAAATTGCCTAAATCAATACAAAGTTCCTTCCAGAACGTGCTGTTGGAAGCTGGATCAAAACTCGCCGTTACAGTTCATCACACATGACTAACAAGCCTCCCAGCAGACAAGCCCTGCCACGGTCCATCAGGCCATTTTGATCGAGACACATCCAAGGTCTACACAAACGCCCCAAACTATTCTAGGTGCTGCACCAGAATATTCCATTGAAGTATTTGGTATCTTTCTCACCCCTCTCTGAGGCCTCGTAAACATGCCCGTCACCCCCTCATAGGCAGCAACCTCTACCCAGCGAAACGAAGCGGACCTCAACTAACGCCGAGATAAGACATGATGGTCCACAGCTGCCAGAAGCAAGCCATCGAAGACTTGCAGATCGTTTCAAGGCAACAGGTTAATATCCCAGGAGCAATCTTGAGACCCACGGTTAACGCCAAGGGGTTTGGCGCAGGGCAAATTATATCGCTGCCTCGATAGTCTGGCATGCCGTGATACCAGACCCTCAAGGCTTCAGGGGAGAGATTCAGCCGCTACCCTGATTCTATTCTAGAACTATGCTTTACCTACACGCCTTCTTCCACATAACCGGCTCCCAGCCAAGAAGCTAGGAACGAACCCTCGTTAATAGAGACGAGGCGGCGAGAATGATACTCTGAGAGAAGTCTCAGGGGCCACAGAATACCAAAGTTCCAAAATTCTTTACTCGAAAACGTTGGCAACGCACCCACAGACACTCCAGCCGAGTCTAAAAGGCTGCCTGCTATCCATAGTCGATCCTCATCGTCAAGGGACATACCAGCCGCCACTCAAACCTATTAAACGCCAACCGCGTGATACCCGCACACGCGCGTGAGCGGGAAATGTCAGGCGAGAGGGGTGGGATGGTGAGACATAGACGATGATGGCGTTAAGACACACCCGTAACTGCACGAGAAGAACGAGCTCAAACGCCACGGAAGCAAAGGTCCCCTCCACGGAACCTCCTCCGCGGATTGGGGAAGATAGCAAAAGAGGGGTTGGGCCGCATCGCGGGCCTCACAGCCGGACGATTTGATGTTGCCTGGATCCCTCAAGCCACTTGGATTCTGAGGTATGAAGTCAAGCCTGAAGAAAACGGTGCGGAGGAACCACGATCGAGCCAAGTCGACAAATGGAATACGTCCATCTCTAGGCGGGAATCTCTATACCACCGATCTCCCGGTTTGACAACATCCACCTCCACTCGGTGAACACTCCCTCACCGTTGGCTCTATCCCGACGGACACCGGGACAATACAAAAGCACGAGATATGCCGTTGGTATTGAGGCTGGACAGAAATAACAAACACAGACCGAAACACGACTCTCCGCAAAGTTTCCGCGAGCGTGCTAAACCTGGAATATCCAGGTTCATCGGTCCTCCTAACTCCACGGTATTAGTCCACCGCAAAGTCCGCGATACCCGGCATTCGTAGATTACCCAACAATGGGATCATCCGTGGGCCCAGCCCTTCGGTAGAGCAAGGAGACGATACCTAGGCGGCCGTTTGACGTCGAGTCTTGGCTGTCAATCATTGCTTTGCCGCGGACGTGCTTGTCTAAATCCCACATCCTGCAGTCAGACACAAAGACGCTTGGCCGTTTCTCGAAAAAGGCACGTCTTGTTGCCTGATCACCAACCAACCTCCTTCCGTACATGTACCTAGCCCTACGAAACACCACCACCACCACCACCACCGCAACCACCCAAAGATGCTGTGCACTGGTGGGGGAGCCCAAACGCAGCATCCGAAAAGGGGCAAATATGCGACGCGTGGGGCCATGGAGAGAAGAAACAAGCTCAAGCCGGAGAGAAAAAATACCAAAGTCCCTTTTTCCTCGTTGCACGCCCCGGGGGGGGGGGGGGGGGGGGGGGGGGGGAAAGCGGCGCCCCCCCGAAAAAAGGGCACCGCGAGACGAAAAAACAGAAAAAAAAAAGAAACGAGAAAAAAAAACCCCCCACCCCCCCCCCCCCCGCGGGGGGGGGGGGGGGGGGGGGGGACGTGGAGGGAAACGGCGTCATTCCCGCAGAAAAAGCTGCACAAGCTACAGAAAAGAACACAAAAAAGGAACACGCAGAAGCCTAAGCCTCCAAACATACCCGCCGCAGGTTAGGCGGGTGCATAAGCAAAGTTGTTCTTGGCCTTTGCTGATCAGAATGATGGCCGTGGGACGATACATTACCCCTCGTTGACGTCTGAATAGCCTCATGGCCCCGAGCTAGAGGACTCAAAGTCCTTCCCATCAAACTTAGTTCGGTGGCTCAGTCCCACATATTCCTAGACCTCAGTACTAATTCAGTAAACAATCTGAAGAAAAGGACCCATAGCCAAGGTAGGGTATCTCTTCCTCTCCCCGTGTCCGTGTCCGTGGGTAATGAGGATGAACCCCCCTCACCCTTCCTCCCGAGCCGAGCTAATCTGGCAGCCTGGTTAATAGTACGCAAGAGAGAGACAGAGAGTGAGTGTGGACTCTGGCAACGCTTTCTGCACCCGTCGTCTGGACGAGATCCCAGTAGTCCACGATTAAAAGGACCCGGGCAATGTCGCGCCCCATGTAACACTACTACCCGTACCCCATCTCCCGAGGAGACGTCGCCGTGAACCCGGCCGCATGGACTGACGAACGAACGTCACCCTTCTTCCCGCTGGCGGCCCCGCCTGGAGCGGGGCATTCGGACTCCCTTCGGACTCGATGAGTGCGCGGTTGAATAGGTAGATCATATAGGGGAGGGGAAGGGGGGATACGTGGGAGGGTCTCGCTGCAGCCCTGGGAGATTCTCCTCAACGAGAGCGGTAAAGTCGATACGACGAGACAAGGGGGATTCCTGGCCTCGTGTACACTATATTCGGATCGCTTTCTCTTCAAGGGCGTGCATGCTTGGGTACATTCTTCACATGTATTCTTACATACAGGCCCGCTGTTGATCGATAGCAGCCGGTATCCTAGGGTGTGTTGGATGGTCCATCGATCTGACCAAAGACGAACAATTGCGACCTGACTTGCATAGGATAGAGGTAGGGGTTAAACACCACGAAATACGTCAATCTTCTTCCATGCCGTACCTTCGCGTTGCCTTGCTGTAATGACAGAGTCGGGTCATCTTGTCGTCGAGTCCGTTCGGCCCCGAGAAACCCGCCCTCAGTCCAGCTTAGTTAGTTAGTACTGTACGATAGGGCCATATCGAATCCTACAATTGTCCCCTCGATCTGACCGACTGCATTGGCGAACAGCCGCGCAAGCAAGAAAGGGTTAGAGCCATACGAAAACTGCGTTGGTCCCACGGCACTTTTCTTCATCCTCATTCGCCAGCCCGAATGCAGTTCAAGACGCTTCCCTTTGGAAGGAACTGAATCCTCGCGCTGCTGGGAAATCTAGAGAAACGTTACCAATAGGTAGGAAAACCAAAGTCCCACGTGCTTCAAGGTCTCGATTAGGAATAGAGGGAGGTTAGATAACAATCTTGACGCAAAGAATCCTACCCAGTGGTATATCCCACTCCCCTTTACCTCTCCGTCGTCCTAGGATAGGTTCCCGGGATACCGGACCACGCAAGGAATTGAAGTGGTGCGGGATAACGAATAGAACACACACGCGCGCACAACCACTGCAGAGCAACAGGGCTGGCCTCAGTCTAGGCAGGTACACACGTCAACCAGGGCTGAGTATTTGTCAAACTCTACAGCGTTGGCATGAGGCACGAGGCACACCCACTACTTCGTAACGACCTAGTCTCTTTCCCTCTCTCTCGAATCCCTTACCATGAAAGTCACTCTGTCGAATGCTTGTGTCCCGTAGTCCTAGTCTCCATAAGCCCACGGTTCGTGGCGCGCCCCTGCCCTACGCGCCCGCCCGCCCGCCGGGCTCCCACGATGACGGTAGACTAGGGTTCTTGAGTGCCGGGGGGAAGAGGGGGGGAAGAGGTGTTCAATGATCTGTGGTTTGTTGGAGATGACGCTAAGCCTGGTGACCAATTCAGGGACCCAAAGTGATGCTCGAGGGAGGCGGACGCCGCGCCCGCCCGCGCATGTGCCCCATGGGCCATGGCAGAGAGAGAAAACGTAGGTGTAAGTCACTTGGTGTGGCTTCGCCGCGTTACCGCATCTCCAGCACCGCCGCTTAGCCGCCTCCCGTGATTACGTATCCGTATCTGCCGCTGCCGGTTGAGTAATAGTAAGCACGTTGTCGGGTTAGATGGATACGAAATCAAAGTGATTGGCCAACCAGAGAAGCAGCCTCGGGATGAGCAGGTTGTGGGTTCCTCTCTCCCTCAAAGGCAAGTACTCTTTGCAAAAAACCAGGTGCTGCTTGTGACTTGTGTCCGGACGATGTCTCTGTCCGCCCGGACAACTCCGGAACACCCCCGGGCTACCGGGCGGCCGCCCGCCGAATGACGCTCCCTGGCTCAGTAGCTTGGCCTGATACTAGTGCCCCCGACAACTTTCCAAACTTGCGGTCGGGAGTCTCCCTGGAAAGTATCTGCTTGTCATCTCGGCTCGCTTCTCTTAGCAAGGAAGTCTGAAGAAAATCAAAGTTGCGACAAGTGGTTGATCTGGCGTCGCTTATCCGATTCTCCTCAAGATCCACCCGGCGGCCGACTCTGCGCTATTCCGTTCGCGGATGGTCATTCGAGGTCAAGCGATCACACTCAACTCGTGGGGTTCAGGGTCACGGCCCATAGGCGTTGTGGAACCCCATGTTCGCTTCGCATCTTTCGACGGGGGGCTTTATTGCGCCTAAAGGGAGGAAAACTCTGCGAACCGCTAACTGACCCTGTTGCTTTAAGGTCGGTGCTAGGCGAGGGGTTCATACTATTGACTTGTTGTAAACCTGTGTTTGCAAGCTGCATCTGTTTCCAGGTTCTAGACATGAAGTTGTTAGAAGCCAAGGACGGCGTAGCAAGGGTACCCGTATTCGGAGGCAAAAAGAGGGGCTGGTTGACCGGCACGTTAGGCTTCAGCTCGCTCAACTTGCTGTGACACAGTGACTGTGATCATTAGAGCCGACATAGTTCGGAGTCAAGGGTTGAAGATGACACCTCAAAAGTACTCCGATGCTCGACTCACCGAGCTACTTTGGCATTCACCGAGAGCACTGGCAGCCTGAAGGCACACGGGACCTGGCCTTTAGCGCCGTGACCGCTCGAATGCCGCGGTGCATGCCCCTCCATCCCACCCATGTTCTTGGGCGGCCGCTGCCTGCCGCTCTCAACGCGGAAGCTATGACACAGTCCACTCGTTGCGAAGAGGGTGAGAGACAACACGACTACTTGTCTGTCTTTGTGAATAACATGAATGACGTGCAGTGTAGGTTCGTAGATAGCAATGAGGTATTAAATCGATATGAGACATGTTGACAGAAAGCCTGAAATAAATCAAATCCAATAAATGCGTTGTCCGACTAGAAACCCCATGCCTAAACCCAAACGTCTTCCGACGTCATGTTACGCCGTCATTAATGGAAATCTCACTAGCCCCACATACAGCCCGAAGGGCCCTCCGAATCAACTCAGAGCTGGCATCGACATCGAATTGCGAAAGAGATACGCTGTGGTGAAATCGAGCGCCCTCATGATCAACAGCAATTGATCGTTCATGGTCAAGCCGTGACTTCTTCAACTATGACTCGGTCCATCAGCACCCGCCGGTTGGTTGTCCGCCGTGGAAACGTACTGTTGACTAGAGCCCTTGCTTTCCTTCTTCTTGCCGCTACTCTTCTTCGACGAGTTTTTGCTCTGTCCTCTGGTCTCTATCCGAGGAAGTAAGCCGTCGAAGATGGCATACTGGTCGTAGCCTTTGCCTTTGTCATCGGGTGAGGTGCCCTTCGAGCTGCCGCCGCCGTGGGAGTCCATCGTGTTGTTCGATGTCCTCAAAGCCGCAATCTAATCAGCCCCTCTGTGTTAGTCAACACCTCCAGTCAAAACTTGAGCTTAGACGTACTGTAGTTTCTTGGAGCTTGCGTAGAAGCTCGCTTGTGTCTTGATCTGTATACGATGCTTGAGTGGGCGATGCTTGGTGAGTTGAGGAGTAACTCAATGCGCTTCGAGAGGCTTGCTGGTCTTGCTGGCTCATGCTGAAGGCGGTCTTGCACGAGATTTATATCTTTGAGGATGGATAGGTAGAGGGAGAAGTTCTTCCCACCGCCGGTCGTGAAAGACAAAGCCAGGTAAAAGGCGGAGGGACTTTGGAAAGTTGAAGAACCAGCCCTGCGCGGCAAAGCTTCAAAGAGGTGTACAAGAAAACGACACACTGGAGCTTTCATAGTATCTCTAATGACTTGAGAAAACTTGGCCCTAAGCTAGGCAGAGCCGTCAGTTGGTGTCGTTGTTCTTGGGTTCAGCCCACACCCCCCGGTCAACTCAAGGCAGGCAACGGGGACGTGCCGGGCACAGCAGGAAGACTGCCTGACGGGACCCGTTTCTCAACCAGTTCTATGCCACTTCCCAGGAAGGACTTTTGCAGTTACTGACACTTTCATTTGGAAAACAAAACCATTCTTGGCCGGATACGTGTGGCGAAGTTGCGAAGAAGACGGAGGATGAAATTTTCTGGATGTGTCCGTTGTTCAGCAAGCCGTCAACATTGGAGTTGTTGCAACTGAACCAAAGTCCCATCGTGCCAGATCATGTGCCTTGCGGTAACCGGGGGAGTCACCAGTAAGCATAGCTGCCGGGATATGCTTGCTGACAACTGTGATTCGCTCAATTGCGAATGAACTGCGAAAGTTGAGCCTTGAGGTTCTGAATGGCCTCAATGCGACATCGTGTAGGCCATATGCCCGAGGACTCGATAGGTCCAAGATCGATAGCTCTGCAGCGTGGAATTGAGTGTATTCAGCATCACACTTCGATCCGGGCATTGAACCTAGGCCGAGTCAAAAGAACTTTGAGACGTCGTATCCACATGCTCTTGTCGGCTTGCATCAGCATAGGGCTGAAATTTGACTTGATCCCAAAGTCCTCTCACGAATCCAGATCATCTACGAAGGATCGGCTTGGGTTCTCCGTGGACCTACGGCATTAGTTCAGATCTTTCGTGAAAATGATCGGTACCGAATGCAATTCGATCTATTCGCAAGCAGTGTGGCAGCCATTTGAGGACGGAGTCAGTCATGCGCCATACTCGTCACCTCGAGGCTTTACCTCTCACCGAATGACGACAAGAGTTGCCATCACTGCAGCCTCGATGTTTTCTTTTCAGATTCTTTTTGATTGTACATTGCTCGTACGATCGGCAGTCGAGCCATTTCGTCGGATACGACTGAGGCCTTTAGCGACTTGACCTGTGACTGTGACATGACTTTGAATCGGGGCCGGAATTGCATGTCACTGCAATCAAGGAGCGTTAGATCTGGATACTCGTCGATCAGATACCGAGCGCCACCAGGAGCGGCCGCCCGTACCCCACCAGGCCAAATAACAGAGGATTGGCTTGTTAGCCGCGGGTCAAGGTTAGGCTCATCTCGGAGCGTGTGTTACGGAGATGTGAGACTCCAGGCAGCCCCAAATGGTGTTTGCTCAAGGAGTTGCACGCGCTCGATAGGATTCTGTAGCCTGAAAGTACATTCCGTCAAACCCGCCATTTGGTGGATTGACCTCCATTCGAGCAATGGGGGGAGACGTGTGCAGGCAGCAGTTGGGCTTCCCGGCCGTGGAAATGTGGTTGCGGGCCGTCCAATGTCGTCGATTCTGCTTCCCGCGTCGGTGCTGGGCATCATCTCGGATGGCATGATCTCTTCATTGCTTGTTACGTAGTAGACACCCTTCTGCCCACGAACCAGGGCGATGGATTCTTGTCACCCCTTCTTGGTGGTCTATGCGACGTGTTGAATAGCGGGATCCACAGAAAGTTGCTGGGGTGCGATGTTGGCTCCGTATAAGTCTAACCAGCCTGGGAGGAAATCTCGAAGGAGGCAACGGCAGCCATACTTCTCTCCCGCCACTCCCCTCGGGACGCGATTGGCCTGAGAAATTGGCTTGCTAGTGAAATGCTTGGATACACCGAGTAGTTGGCTCGGGTAACTGATGTTCGATGGGACAGGCGTTTTGTGATGTTCGGGCCGTTAATTGGACGGATTGGGGTTGCCATCCATGAATCCATGATCTTGATGTGTACCTTGCTTTGATGTCTCCTCTGCCCCCTGCTCTTTGCACAGGAGAGGGGAGACAAATCCCGTGGCCTACGGGGCCGTCAGTGAATGGGCCCCACGCTCTCCGGCCACAAGACCGCAGACAGGCCCGGGATAATCGGCGTGTTGACCCGACTGACTGGCTTGAGGGAGAGGCCGTACTCCGTAGTGTATCCGTAGAGGTCTCTCGGTCTCTGGATGGAGCAATAAAGGAGACCCGTTTTCGATGGGACCTTCATGGGGGCTCTGCGGCCGCCGCGCGACAAATACTATAGCTTTTGCTCGCATCTCTCTCCAATGGGCAATCCGTAACGTCGCCAATCAACTGGCCTACTAAGCGAATTTCCACGCCGCACCCTGGACCAGTAGACTCCCAAATTTCATGTTCCCGAAGAAGTCTAGCCTTTCGTCTCAACGCGACATACTGCGACCTCGAGCGACCTCTTCGTTCTGGCGTCCACGTCGTTGGAGTGTTCGGTTCCTGGCTCTAGCCCTGGGCCCTGGCCTGGAAGCAACGGCCATGTGCTGATGATACCCGACCCGTTCCCCACAAGCTCGGACAAAGCGGGCCAAATCCCTCACTCTATTCGGAGTTTCTCTCTTCTTCATTTCATCTTGTTTCGACTCTGGATGGGAATTCGCAGTCGAGGGGCAGCGGAATTTTCCATGTCGAGGAGGAGCGACAGCGTCGAAACGGCCATTGTGGTTGATTACCAGGGCGGATCCCCACCCTGGACAGGCAGTCGAATTCGGAGCCCCCTCATCTTGTTTCGGGCCACTTTCAGGCAACCGGATACGTTGGGTGGTGCGCATAGAGATGGAGGACTGGAGGGAGGTCAGTTTGTAACTTGGTTGGCAGTGATGATCTCAGTCCTGTCCAAACTTACTCTGAACCGTCCAGATGTGGCTGCTGCAAGCTGTCAGAGAGTGACTCCACCTGATGGTGGCAGTGGCACGACCGCCAGCTCGATAGCCGTCGACTCATCGCCCGTTGTCGTCGGAATACTTCTGTCTGACATTGGGTTGCTGGCCCGCCTCATGCTAGCATCTCACCGTTGCGGATAATACTGACTGCTGATCTCTTGCTGCACCTTGCCTAAGCCCCCTGCGCCTTACCCACTTACACCTCCCCTGTAAGGCGATGGTCACCATCTTGGCCACTAAATTGCCTTCCTGGCGAAAGACTGGGAGCCGGCAGCGGTTCAGCGGGTATCTGTGGCCGTCCAATTCCGCTCGAGGAAGGTCGATAATAATTGACATCAGATGCAAGGCCTCTCGCTGCAGGGGTGTGCAGCCGCTGGGAGGGGTGACATTGAATCCAATGCCACCAGTAGGCCGGTCGTGCTGGTATGGGGGCGGGAAGACAGGGCCCTACCGGGCTTAGCGGTTCGACTG